ATGTTTTTTGTGTATTTTTGTATTGTGTTTGAAGCCTAGTTGTAAATTAATGTTAAAGTTTATACTAAAACAATTAGACAACTCGGCCTCGTTGTCTATGAGCAAATAGTCAACTCGGCTTCGCCTCGTTGACTATTCACTCATAGACAACTCGGTCTCGTTGTCTAATTGTTAAATAACGTTTCTGAAGTCACCTGTCACCTGGCTGCTGCCCCGTAACCCGTCAATATATAAAGGTCTAACTTAGGTAAGACAAAAGATATAAGCTGTGCCTCTGACCTGATTATTACCACAGGATATGCCATTCACCGTTACCAGATTAGCAGGACACTGAAATGTTACAAAGAGTTGAAATCTAGTGCAGGTACGTTAAACCAAACACCTTGGGTTTACGGTTGCGGCCAGTGATCGGGGCATTCAGATTTTAAATTAATTTTTCACCAAGTGACTGGATACGATTGAAAACAACAAGTTACCATCGCTATATACTACGTTACGGACTACGTATAATGATAAACATTTAATGCGATTTTACGGTTAACAGAACAATATCGCAATGTAAATTATGTTATATTGACCGGCTCAGCAACAACTTGCATTTCGAATTGCTGTTCAAAATTGTTCGATCCGTGTCACACTACCTCTAGGTAGGTGAAAACTAGTGGTGAAAACAAGATTTTTATGAAGTCCTTTTAATTAGATAGTTGTAAACAAAGACGAAAGTTAAAGCAACTCAAGTTCGAAACGTAACATACAATTACTTTATGGTTTCCGTGCTTGGATGGCCTGATGATCAGGCCTGATCCAAACACGCGAGAATGTTGCAAGAGTTAAGAAAAGCGCGAAACACGAGCAGAAGGCGAGTGATTTTGCGCGCTCTTCTTAACTCGAGCAGCATTTCCAAGTTTTTGGATCAGGCCATCCATAAAGTAATTGTTATATAAAAATTTAATAACAACTTTCCGTGTTAAAATTTCACTTTAAAAAGCTTTCACTTTAAATTTCCGTGTTTGGATGGCCTGATCCAAACACGGGTTTCCACCACTCAGAGCACACGTTATATACATGTTGTTTTATAAGTATGTTTACTGCAGCATTCATACTAGCAAAACTATAAAACGATTAGCTCCCTCAATTTTCCTACTTTCGCTCTCGGTGACGAAAAAATCAATGAAAACCATATCATAAAACGTTTTCCTCCTCGCTAAACGACTTTTAAAAACTTCGTTCAACACTTTCACAAACCTCGCCATTCCTGCTGCAAAATAACAACTTGTAAACAATGCAATTGGTGGGAAATTGTCGGGAAGTTATGAAGATATGAAAAATATCTTACTCATCCATCTCATTATGTAGTATATAATAAATTATGAACTTATGACACTCACCACTTCACTTGTCCCATTACAATACTCCGGAACATCGCACGAGTTTACAGCTTCACGACAAACTGTACCTCCAGAGATAAACTGAAAAAAATCAATCAATTAACCAAATTTGAAGACGGTCACTTCGCAGTTAAGGCTAGAGTCAAGACCAAAATTTTTATGTTGCTTAATAAAGATAAGGATACAAATTAAGTTTTCACAGGTTTGATGCCATATTATTCCTTTTCTAATACAAGATCATTCATTTCAAGTTGCTGCATACAACAGTATATTCATTCCATACCTGGCAGTCACTACAGCAAACTCCGTCAGCACATTGGGCTTTTTCATACAGCGTACACGAAGTATAATTACAGCAAGTATTGTTAGCACGCACACAGTCCTGAAAAATTGAAAATATTGTACTGGAATTGTACTTTGGGTGAACATCCACTTCGAAAAAGACATTTTCCACTTCCAGAAAACGTTGATAGGAAGCCATATGTTTCTTGATTTCCATCACTGGGAAAATGTCTATGAAACAATGTTACCTGTTTTCTGCATCTATGGGAAACATGTCCATGAAACAATGTTTCCTGGTTCGAGTGGTTTCCCACCTTTGGAAAACATGACTAGCAAACGATGTTTTCTGGTTTGTCTATCTTTGGGAAACATGGCTAGGAAAAGTTAATTTTTTCAGTCACCTCTTGTGTACCACAGTCACATTCCTCTCCATCCTCCACAAAACCATTGCCACAGGCTGCGTCTGTTGCAAACTGGAATAAAGGAATATATAAAATTCGTAGGAATCTCGCAATTATCTGTAGATGTAGTTTACTTGTCATGTTCCTATGAGTGGAAACATTTTTGAACTTATAATTAATCACCATCGATATCTTCCGCTCTATAAGATGTTAATACCAAGACTATTAATTGCCTGTTACTGTTGCTTATCATGTAAATGCATACTGAAAAGTAAGAAGGAAACATTGAAGATAGCGGATATTTCACAATGTACCTTTGTTGGTTGGTTAAAGAGACAATGTCCAACATTATCCAAAAGTAAAGTCTCAAGATCATCTATGCTGCACTGGGAAAATTGCTCTGGTGGTTGTGAGCTAAACATATTTAAAAAATACTTTGTGAAACATATGACAGTTGTTCGGTACACTTGAAAAATCTAATGGGAAAATTGGGGAAATCTTTGTGTCTGATTGTTTTCAGCACAAGAAGAGAATTCCAGCTTTTCGAGTGAAGGCGCTTTGCCTTCATCTTTATTTGTAAAAATATATGCAAAGCTGCATGTTTATCTGGAGGAAAACCTTCGGAATTCGTCGCTGAACGCCAGAATTTCTGAGTTTAAAGATCTTACTGGCCAAATAAGTCACCTTAGAACACCATTCATAACACACCCATCAGATGGACACGATGTGCAACCTTAACAAAAATAGTATATTTATCACGACAACTGTTGTTGAAGTACTATTTAGAAACGAGCAGGAGTGTTTTATTAGGTTTAAAGCCACGAGCGCGAAGCGCGAGTGGCTTTCGACCTAATAAAACACGACCTGCGAGCTTTTTAAATGACTTCAAAAACGTTTGCATAATAAGTCAAATCTTTATATAAAAATCTTTATATAAAAATCTTTATATAAAAATCTTTATATAGTTTGCATAACAATGGTCTTTTGTTAAAGTGTTCTTTAGCTGGTATAAAGACGTATGCACGTGACTAATTTCTTACTCAAGATTGGATAATTGCTTCATGAATTATTAATGAGTTTTTGAAGTTAATATAAACAACTGAAACTTATTTAGAAGTAACACGGTGCTGCAGAAATGTATGAAGCAATTTATAGAACTATAGTCTATACGTTTTCTGTCATTTAGGGGTAAAAATACATCGGCGTTCAAATGGATTTTATGCATGTTGGCATATAGTAAGAGCTCCCGTCACAAGGGGATGAGAGTTGACAGTCAAGCCTTGGTGAGGGAGTTCAAACTCTAGATTAAGAAAATAAAGATTTGACGAGTGTTCCAACTGGCAACTGTGTTTTAACACGGCTAAATAGAATACATGCATGATAATGTTGGGAAAGCATTAAACGCAAACCAAGGTCGCGTGACTGCATGCCGACTCTCATGCACTCTTTCGTTTGATCCGCTTCACAACTTGTATACGACAAGTTCTTTTATACTTCTCCGATATCTGTTGGTTTTGAAGATGACGTCATGGATTAAAACTTACGAATTTTCTATACTTTCAAACTGTTACGATTACTTAATAAATATTTTATTTTGGTTTTGGATGGTCACTTCAGGATTTCAAAATTTTTACCCTGCTAGTATGATGTCATAAATTAGGTTTAAATTCAATGATATATCAAACAAACTATCTGAAGCAACAACTTTCTTAGTCTGAAAAATGACCTAACGAGTTGTGTATAAATACTATTTTTAAAATTTATTCAATTTAATATGAGAATAACACACTTTTTATTATTACAATTAGAAATACGTAATGTTACGAAGGAAACTACTAAATATTTAAAAATACTAAGGAGAATAAAATCCTACACCTACATTGTGAATATTTGTTGTACTAAAGATAAACATCTTGATTTAAAGATGTTTGGATTTCATGAAATAGGTTCCAGATTGTCTTGTGTACTATATATATACTAGTCTATACAGTTATAATTTTAATCCCTGTAAGTTTTGATGAAGACACTGCATGTCATGCGCTTTATGTGTTTCAGCTGTAGTTGATCAAGAAGGAATATCAAAGAATTTTCCTAAAGTATTTATCTAAACCAATTCCACGCGTATAGTGTATTCTGGTAACCGTAAACTGGTTAAAATTCGGTTCAGAAAGCGCACATATCTTATTTTACATATAGAGCAGTATAAAACATAAGCCTTTAGCTTACTTTCTTCATAACTTCAAAAACTTGATAAACAACTTGTAAGTATTGCAAGAACCAAAATGAAGTTTTCGTTTGAAAAGCCAGGTTTTTCCAACATTTTAGTCCCGTATTTACGACTAAAAACTAAACCATGCATATTTGCAACCATGCCATCGTCCGTCCACTAACCTATTTCTAAATTACCTCCATTGTTATAAAAAAATATGATTTTTGCCACTACCTACAATTTGATTGGTATGCTTGTACAATAATTATTATATCGTGCCCAGCGATATATCAGCGTGAAACAAAATTATCACCATTGTCAGATTAGTCACTGATCTTATAACTTCTCATTTGACGGGATCCATATAACTGGACCAGATTGCTGTCGAATGATCTCTTTCACTTGACTGTATATCTCGCTGTAAGTGTCGCCTGATACCAAAGCTATTAAGAAATAATAAAAACGCTTAAATCTCTTACATATAATTATATGACAACCACCCCAAAATATGAAAACAAAGTTTGTCTTTTTGTGACCCACTTCACGATCCACTTCATGTTGAAATCTCTCAGTACTTTATACTGTCCCGCGCATCTTTGTTTTCTTAGTCATACTTGTACAAGTATGCAGGCATCGGAAGCAGCGCACCATCAAAATTAGCGCCCCCCAAAAGCAATACCTATACGAAGGCCTTGAAATAACGTTTGGATTAGCTGCTATATTAGTATCTCATTCTTTAATTAAGGACAAAAAATAATAATTCTAATAAAATGCGCATTATCTGAAAATCACGGGCCTCTTGAAAGCGCGGGCCTGTAGGCTTCAGTCTACTCAGCCTACTGGTCAATCCGCCACTGGTTAAATCCTGAATTCTACCCTTCGCCATTTGTACAAACCTGTAAAATATTCGGCAAATTCTTGTTCCAGTTTCTGAGCTCGGTCGTACGTTTTCACTGCTTGTTCTTCTGTAATCCGCTTGTTAATTTCTCTCAATGTTTCCACGGATTTTGGTTTTAGGAATACCGCAATTGGATAGAGTTCAGCAACCTGTAGTCTTTTAATAGCATAACCACTTACATCAAGAATACAATGCTTGTTCTGTAAGAAAGCAACAAATATGCAGCCCTCCATTATCGAAATTTTATTTAGTCGTGCGCTACAGGAATTGGATAAACATTGGGATATAAAAATGAAGTTTATGGGACTGTATACAGCTAAATCAACTAAAGTTGTTCTCTAAAGGCCAAAACTCGCAAATGTAAATCCTCGACCTTAAGTGCGAAAGTGGACATGTACATGTACAGTGTATGTATGTTTCTCATTTTCAGCCTCTATTTGATTCTGGCACAACACAACTTCCATATACCCCTTATGTTACCCTATTGCACATAGTCGAACGGTCTGAAGTTATAAAAATATTGTACCGTATCCTGAATGGATTAAATTTTAAAATAATGCACTATGTATATAGGTAATCATGCGATGACGAGTACAATACACCCTTTCGTTAAATTATGTCATTTGGCCGGGGAACCTCGCTCTCATGAATCATGAGCCACTCACCTTGCGTAATTTACTAATGAGAGCGAGGCGCCAAGACCAAATTAAAGTATGTGTGACGTAATTATCGAAAGGGTGTATTAGGGATTAATAGTACGAGTGATGTTTGGAAATTTTGCCAAAAATTGGACGAGCCGGTACGAGCAACATCGAATGATTACTTGTTTATTATTAGCATGACAAAATTGGATAATTCTCAATGTCAACATCATATTCTCTCGCCAAAAAAGCCCAGTCCTGCCAGATTTTCAACCAAAATTTGGTGCTTTCGTTGGTATTTTCATTTGGTTCTTTTGCTTTAAGTTCCTCTAGGGCAATTTCATTTGTATTTAAATACCTTTCCGCCATTTTGTTTGTTTTGGGAAAATCATTAATTGTACTGCAGTACAATACAATTAATGAAATAATTGTACTCTTCTCAACCAATCAGCATCCAGTAATTTCGTCATGCTAATAATAAATTTAGTAACAGCAGTGAAAATTTTAAGGGAAAATTGAAAATGAAATCAATACCTTTTCTGCGACCTCTCTAACTGACGAGACACTGGTACCATAGAGATTGTCATTATACTGTCCAGCTTCAATAAAATGATGCTCTTGAATACCACGTTCCATTTCTTCCCGAGAACTGACAAAATGATAATCTCTACCATCTACTTCATACTCACGTCTCGATCGCGTTGTATCTACAAGTTGACCATTTTGCTGTTAATATCTTCTGTTATAATTGGGTTTTATCGTGCAACAAACGCCCTCATTAATATTATTTAGTGCCTGCAAGCAAAATTCATATGTTGGGTGCTATAAATATTGTTAAAATGTCGGAATTTTAAAATGTGTACAAATTCAAAACGTGCCTGCGAGTGGCACTCTACACGCTCGTGCATTTCGGTGGTGCCTGACAAACACCACCGAGAAATTTAGCGGGACAAAACGTTTCCCCGGTGGCGGGTGCCTTTATCATGTTGTATTTTCCAAGTAGCGGAAACAGTTAATCTTGAAAAGGGGCCTGCGCTCAATTAGCCTTTCTCACGCCGCCATTTTTGGGGTACTGTAATTTTTCGTAAACGATTATAACAATGTGAAAAGCAATATTTCAGAACAAACTAACTATTTACAGAGTAAATTTACCATCATACACCCATAAAATTATTATAAAATGTCGCCGTTACGTGGTGTTACGCTCGCAGGATTGGCAAAAAAGTATCCCCAAAATGGCGGTGTTAGAAAGGCTAATTATAGCACCCTATCCTCGTTTGCAGCGTCTCTCGGCTTCACTGTGTGCCGCAAGCAAAACTGAGAAGCCCCGTGAATGACGATGTACCCTATGGGCCCAGGGCAAGTTACCTCATCGAGGCGGTCCTGCTTGTACAGTAACTACGAACCGAAATAAATATTTAAACGGCTGATACCCAAACTTTATTAAACTCATATTTGCCTAGAAATGAAGGCCGAGTGCAAGTGATTTGTAGGTTTTTACAATAGAGTTCTTTACTACGTTAAACATTAACTTGAGCAATCCTTCCACTTCATTATGTCCATCGATTACTCAATTCTAACACCAAAAATTGTTGTCTACAATATAATCAATACAATAAAATGCACTTACGTGGAACACAACTTCCAAATTTATCTGGAAATTCTGAGATAAGA